TATAAGATCTGCAGGTGTTCTTATGCCCCCAATTGAATTTACTTCTCGGTCATCAAGCCTTTCATTATATAATTTAGCATGAATAGTATTTGATTTCCAAAAGGTTCTAATACTATCATTATGATTGTATTTGGTAGCTTTAGAAATTTCTCCATATTGTGAAAAGGCATCATCATCTAAAACCCGTTTTTTTGACTAACCGCGAATATTATTTATTCAAGAAATAAGAATAACCATAGAATATTATTTGCTGAAACATTTCTTCTATAATCATCACTATAACCGTAATACATAAGACTTACCGTTATTTTTCTATCATTCGAATTTTCCGGATCCAGGATGAAATTTTCAGATTCGTTTTGTGCCGTTTTTTGTGAATCTCCTTGAGATAACGTTTGTGATTTCAAAAAACTATCAGTAATCGGTTTAGGCAATTCACTCATTGTAATACCTATTTTTAAGAAATGAGTAAATTTAATTATAATGACATTTAGAATTAAATAACTTGTTATAATTATAGTATTGTCCTTTCTTACCAGTTACTTGAAGATAAGAATTATTTGAAAGAAGAATAAATATCGATGTATTCTTCAATAAATAGGTCATTGTCTGCACACTAAGCCTACACAATACCATACTATTTAATTTGATCCACTTTTTGGGTATCTTTATTTTACATTACATTTGTAAAATATTTACCTGGAATAAAGCTTTTTCCATGCTGATGAACACTTAATATAGTCTGCGCACGAATTTTCATGAACCACCATAGATCCGTAAACGTTCGGTAGCTAAGCACAGTTTGCATTTAATAATTATGTCCAAATTAACATTTAAATCCTCCCACATATAATATATCTAAAAATTTTATATTCACCTTCTTAAAGCCCAGTGACAAAACGTTGAGTGACTTTTCATTAACAAGCTCCGTAATAACAGAATTAACCACCTACCAGAGAAATTTTAGAATAATTTTTCAATGTAAATACGACTACACCACTTAACGACTTAGCAAATGATACATACGTCTTCAAATTTCTTTTTCGGAGTCTTCTTCAGTGAGTATGGTGGAAAGGAATGTTTAGTGTCGCTTATGAGTGAGGTTTTTAGTAAATTTTTATAGTCTTCCTCATCACCCTTCTGAATCAATTTACGCTTCTTTTTATTGCCGCAATACGTGGTAAGATATTTATATAAAGTGGTGATATTTGGATAATAAGTACGCAAAACAGAACACATCTTTCAAGAATTACAGAACTAAACGAAAAAAAATTAATTTTCTGAATAAAGATTATCAAAAATTGATTGATTGATCACGTTTTGTAAAGTCAATTTAACGCGTATTCTATAGGAAGAACGCGTATTACGTAGTAACGATAAAATTCATTTGTACGTTATGATTGGCTAATCAGCACGTATATAAATATGTAATCGAATCTAAAAAAAAAATTTGTTGACATTCTAGCGATAAGGGCGTTACCAAAGGTTGACTAAGAATGTCTTTACCTAGCTTGATAATAATCTTTAACCGTTGAGGTTTTTCAAGCTGTTTGCACCCATTTCAAAACCCTAACCCCTTCAAAGGCGTCCTTTCCAGTTTTTCAGTATTTGGAACTAACCACCCGACTAGACGAGCGGGTGCTCTGGGGAAAATGTAAAATCTGTTAAACTGGGTTAAATTCTTTGTGATCTATGCTAACCACCCGACTAGACGAGCGGGTGCTCTGGTATTAGATGTAAATCCAGTATTCTGCGCTAATCACCCGACTAGACGAGCGGGTGCTCTGGTAAAGATATAAATCTGAGAATTTAACTTAAAGTACCTTTGATAAACTTTTTTTATTTATTCTCCTGTGTTTTTAGAGCGAGTTTCTACTAGACTTAAGTCTTAGAAACCGACATTGGTGCAATGAACCCTCATTAGGTTTAGATTAGATTCATTGCTAGTTTATGTGCAAAAAATTCACTGGGTTTATAGGAATTGATGCCGTCTAACTTGGAGTTTTTTTTGCATATAAAATTGCTTTTTTTTCTCGGTCTCTTGCTGACACCTCAACGTGGTGATCGGGTGAACGAATTTTTTTTTATAGTCAACTTTCTCAAATTTGAACCTAGATAATCTGAACTCTGTAGGAACTGAACACAAACATTGTAAGTTTTATTATCAAGTTCGAATTAGAAATATAGTAACTGAACTTTTTGATATTTTTACATATAGGAACGGTCTGGTCTGTTTGGAATAGAAAGTTGACTATATAAAAATTCGGCCAAGATCAGCTTTAAAATAAATATAACATTAAACTAATATAAAATTTTATATTTTGTAAAATTAGATCCGAATTTTTTCGTGGGCAATAGAATTTTTAATACATTATTTGGATTATTGCGCTTTCCAAAAGGATGCCATGTGGAAATCGAAATTTTATCGATTTTAAGAATTCTATCAATTTCGAAGAAATATAAACGTAACCGATCGAAAATATATAACAGCACCAATCTAAAACCTTAAAAATTGTCCTCAACCATCATCCAAAAAATCATGTGGCTACATATTTTTGCAAAACGCTATAAGAATAATGATCTATTTAGACCTGTAAGTGATTCTTCACAAATTCTTAATGCTCCTGTATTATTTGGTTCAATTCCTAATGATTTATTAAATCGGCGAGTGATTCTTCATATATATTCATCATGCGATAAGTATTTCTACGAATTATTAATGCATTTGCATTATTTGAGTTAAATAATAATAATAATATAGACTTGTAAGTAATTTTCCCAAAATTCTTAATACTTCGGCATTATTTGGTTCAATGTCTAATAATCTATTTAAATCTGCAAGTGATTCTTCATATCTTTTCATCATGCGATAGGTATTTTCCCGAATTCTTAATTCTTCTGCATTATTTGGTTCGATTTCTAATCTCTACCATTTAATTCTGGGTTTGTACGCTTTAACGTTTTTGGTTTGTCGTATCTGAACGATTATGAAGATTAACATGGTTTGAGTAATTATTTTTTCCAATGATCATTTGCAATTATTGCGACATTTTGATCATTTACATTAATGTCGTCATGAATTGATCATCTATACGTAAAATCGAGTGATATTAGCTATGAATAACGTTAATAGCAGGTTTTGTTACAGTAACTCACAAGAGATCAAGATAATTTTAATGCAAACTAACTCAACCTTACAACAATTCCAATGCCAACTAACTCAACCTTGATTAGATACTGTGTTTACCAGAATAGAAGGTATGTTCCATACAGTTACGTACTCACGATAGAAATTACAATAATTCCAATACAAAGCTAACTCAACCTTAATTATATACTATGTAACAGAATTCTTACAATAGAAATCTTTATAACTCAATTCTGGATTTGTGAGTTTAGAAGTTTTAATTGGTCGAAGTATTCAAGATACGCAATTAACCTTATTTTTATTTATTCTAACTTAGTACGTAATAATCATTTATTAACCATTGATTTAATTTAAGGCATTATTTTACAGAAAAATTCAAGAAATAAATATTGCTATTAGGAATCAACTTAATATCTCCATTAGCAGTGACACTACTTTCCAGATAACGAAAGTTAAGGGTAGCCTTTATTTAGAGTAAGAGTTATGTATAACTATTCTATTAATATTATTTAACCCACGCTTAATGAAAATTACGGATTCCTGATCAAGCTCTTAAAATTTTATGAGAACCGTGGTGGAGCCACGGGAGAGCACTAGTGATTTATTTAAATCAGCAAGTGATTCCTCATATCTATTCATCATTCGATAAGTATCAACACGAATTCTTAATGCTTTTGCATTATTTGAATTAAATAATAACGATATATTTAGATCTGTAAGTAATTTTTCACAAATTCTTAATTCTTCTGCATTATTTGGCTCAATTTATTTAAATCTGTATGTGATTCTTCTTATCTTTTCATCATAAGTATCGCCACGAATTCTTAATGCAAATGCATTATTTGGTCTTAAAATCATTCATGACGAAGGGTGGATTCATAGAGATCTTCATAGTGGAAATTTACTTCTTTCTCCATCATCAACTATTGAACCGATAGTTATAGGTGATTTAGGAATGTGTCGACCAGCTCGTCAAATTAGTAGTCCTGAATTTTTAATGCATTATTTGGATTATTGCGCTTTCCAAAAGGATGTCATGTGGGAATCGAAATTTTATCGATTTTAAGAATTCTATCAATTTCGAAGAAATATAAACGTAACCGATCGAAAATATAAACAGCAGCCAATCTAAAACCTTAAAAATTTTCCTCCAAAAATCATGTGGCTACATATTTTTGCAAAACGCTATAAAATAATAATGATCTGTAAGTGATTCTTCACAAATTCTTAATGCTCCTGTATTATTTGTTTCAATTCCTAATGGTTTATTAAATCGGCGAGTGATTTTTCATATATATTCATCATGCGACAAGTATTTCTACGAATTATTAATGCATTTGCATTATTTGAGTTAAATAATAATAATAATATAGACTTGTAAGTAATTTTCCCAAAATTCTTAATACTTCGGCATTATTTGGTTCAATGTCTAATAATTTATTTAAATCTGCAAGTGATTCTTCATATCTTTTCATCATGCGATAGGTATTTTCACGAATTCTTAATACGTAAAATCGAGTGATATTAGCTATGAATAACGTTAATAGTAGGTTTTGTTACAGTAATTCACAAGAGATCAAGATAATTTTAATGCAAACTAACTCGACCTTACGACAATTCCAATGCCAACCAACTCAACCTTGATTAGATACTGTGTTTACCAGAATAGAAGGTATGTTCCATACAGTTACTCACGATTAGTGCTCCGAATCGGGTCGGGTTCGGGTTAGAAAATTTTGATCCGAAAGTTTCGGGTCGGGTTCAACAGGGGTGAACGTCCCAAATTTGGAAAATGGTTACACGAATGTTAAGTGATTGTCACATGCTAACCGGCCAATCAAAATAGCAACAAAACGAAACAAAATCAAAGAAATTTAATCAAAATTTATATTTAAAATTTAAAGTAAATGTCGTTGAATATTATTACACATCGACAAATATATCATTATTGATTTAGATCCTTTTAAACTATATTATTTTAAACTATATTGTATATAAGTATAATCATCATTATTTCATGTATTTAAGAATTTTTATAATCTCTACGTACGATTCTATGTCTAATAAACTGGAATATTTCATAGTATATATCACTTAATATTATTCTGTTGAAGAAACCCTTATATACTCATAATTTTGTTCTACACATTGTATTACATAATATACCTATATAAATCTATCACCACGTCTCAACTCAAAACTTCTATAACAAAAAAAAAATAACGAAGTTAATAACTATTATTATATATAATTTTTTAAAATAAATTCTAAGTAACGCATACAAAAAAGATAATA